GAGCACAGGCTCTGGGCAGCACGAGGTGAGGTTGTAAGGCAAGAAACGTGGACCCCTGAAAGCATTTGTCCATACCTGGGTCTCCTCACTTGCCTCCTGGGGTTTGAACTCTCTCGGGATGCTTGCTGCAACTTTTTCCATCTTAATCAACCCAGTGTGAGAGGCTAGAAATGCTTTTCCAAGCAGGGAAGAAATAACATGACTCCAGGAGCTGGTGTTTTAAAGGGGAGGGCATCTGGAAACACTCAGGAAGGAGGAGCAACCGGAAAGTAGGTGAGGAAGGTGAACATGCAGCAGTGAGTGGGTTTGGGTTGGAAAAGGCTGCTGGGTGCTCTGGGTATACTGGAAGGTGTAGAGAAGCCCCTCAGCTGGGCAGCTGGCTCCCTCCGGCCCTTTCCCTCCCGAGTGCTCTCCCAGGCGGTGCCTCAGCAGCAGCAAGCTGTGCAGGAGCACCCCACTCCTCGGGGGCTTTCCTCCCAACCCAAAATAGCTGCGGTTTGGCATGTGCCTCAGAGAAGGGCGAAGCAGAATGCAAAGATAATCTCTTGGCCAGTTCTTCTTTCCTATGTGGGGCGGTCACTGCTCTCACATCGTGCCGGCGACACTTTTGTTTCAAGCCAGTTTCCGAAGCTGCTCCCAGATCTGCACGTAGGATGAGATCAGGCAGCGAGCTGGTGAGACTGTCACTGGCGACTGACACCACCTGAGCAACTGATATTTTTTTTTTTTTGTGGAAGAAAAGTCACTTTACGATGCTTTAGAAGCACTTAGTAACTGATTATATACCCAAAGGAGCAAAATGGGGTGTGCTGTCCACGGGAGCCATGCCACTGACCTGTGCTTCACAGCTGTGGGCTCTGGTGCTGAGATCAAGGCTGGAGATCCAAGGTGACACCTTATGTTTTTTGGTTTTAGAAGGCTTTGGCTGAGCAGATTTTCTTGTCAGATGCTCTGAAAGCACTGAGCAAGGCATGTGGAAAGGAAGAGTTGGCATCTCTTCTTTCCACCCCTTGCCACGTGTGCCTCAGGCCTTTTATTATTAAGCCAGGAGTCAGCAGCTCTCCTTACCTTGTGTTTTCAGATCAGATCGTGGGGAGCAGGAGCCACCTTTTTGGCCTGGAGCTCTTGAGCCTCAGCCACTCGAAGTGGGTCAGCCAGCACTGAGTTCAGTTTGTCGGTGCTGCTGAAACTTTGGGAGAAAGGAGAGCTTTTTGGGGTTGTCCCACTCCGGCAAGCAGGCTTTGGAGAAGGCTGGAGGCGGGTGGGACAAAGGGAGCAGGGGGTACCACGAGGTGACGCAGGCCAATGTTGTTGTTGGGATCTATTTTTGGACTGTGTTACCAGGAGCTGGGGGAAAGCAGACCCCACCCCCAGACCCTTTCCAGCACTGGGAACTTTCTGACGGGTGCAACCAGGTCCTGAGTGGGGGAACGGGATAGGAGGATCCCATTTCCACACCCTTCCCCGTGCTGAGGGCTGACGCTCATATCCCCCAGAAGCAGAGACCTCTGTGCCATGGCAGACTGTGATCTGCTGCCGGGGACAGTGTGGCCGGTGTCATCCCTTTGCCACTTGCCTGGGAGCAGAGGAAAATGTCAGTGTTAACACAGGACTTCCTGGTTCTCTGACCCGTGGCTTGGGTGCTTGAGCTTGTGCTTTCTTTGGGGCAGCATTGCCACTGTGCTCACCATGGCACTTGGAGCAGTGCAGCAGCAGGAGCTTCTCTCTGGATATTTCAGGCAGGGCCTGAAATTCAAGTCTTGGATCTCAGAGGGGTGTGGGGGCAATAGGGAGGGATGAGAAGAGATGCAGCAGCAGGAGGAAGGCTCACAGGAGCCACGCTCAGGAGGAGCAGACACAGGCTAGGTGGCCCAGAGAGGGACAAAGGGTGCCTGTGAGTGTTGTACAGACCAGCGTCTCATCAGGTTTGTGCTGTGTGCTACATCTGTGTTCCCAAGTAGTTTTTATCTTAGATGCTGCAAGAACACGCTGGAGGTTTGGGGTGAGTAGTGACCTTTATGGATCATCTAGTCCAACCCCCTGCCTTGAGGTTTCACTAGATCAGGTTGCTCAAAGCCCTGAACACTTCCAGTGATGGGGCATCTACGACTTCTCTGGGCGACCTGCCCCAGTATCTCAGCACCCTCATCGTAAAAAAATTCTTCCTTATGTCCAATCTAAACCTGCTCTCAGTTTAAAACCGTTGCCCCTTATTCTGTCACTAAGGGCCCTGGTAAAAAGTCTCTCTCCATCTTTCTTATAAGCCTTCTTTATATATCGAAAGGCTGCAAGAAGGTCTCTTGTTGTTGTAACTGCCCTCCAAGGAGGTGCCCCAGGCTGTAGGGTGTTCACCAGTAAGGTGAAGCTCAAACATAGCTATGGCAAGAGAGGGAAACGTGCAGCTTCAAGCCCCAAGGGTGCTCCGCAGCACCGACGTACGCCAACAGTGCAGCACTGGGTAAGGCACCCCGGCGACTTTTGCAGTCAACAGGATTTTTAAAGATGCTGGGGGGGTTGATTTATTTTGCTGAGTGAACTTCTTGAGGGGATACACCTTGGGGAGTGGGGGCTGAAGGGACAGCATCACATTTTATCATGTCCCCGTGCATTTGGGCAGGCTGTTGCCTTGTGACAGTGCAGGAAGGACGCAGGTCTCCCCTCAGCGTGTGCCGGCGACCGTGGGGTTATGCGGGGCAGCGACCTGACGGCAGCTGCGGGTATGGTGCTGCAGGCAGGTTATTATTAGGAGTGGTGCATTGCAGGAGGGAGCAGGGAAGAAGGAGCCAGGCAGGAGGAGAGCAGGAGAGGGGTTGGTAATGGATGGGTGTGCAGATTCGTCACTTGTGGGTTGTGCTGTTCCCTCCTGCTTTTAAATCGCTGTTTATCTGATCTGTCCTTATCTTCCATAGTATTGGCAGGAACTAAATTCTGCCAAGGATTTGCAGCTGTGCTGTACTTCCCCAGTAAGTCTGGGCTATGTAGAGACCCGGAGGGAGGCGGGGACCAAAAAAAGAGAGGAAACGTCATGCCAGGAAAGATGCTGAAAATTTTTTCTTATGGTGGAAGGCATTTTTCTCCCCAGGGAGGGAAGCCTTGTTCAAACAGTTCCCATATAAGGGCAATTCTACCTTTTAACTTTCTCTTTCCTTCTCTCTTTGTTTCCCTCTTACCCCAAAGGCATGTGAACCCCCTTTGATTCCCTTTCTGTGGCTGCGCTATGGAGTCAACACTGACGAGAGGACTGCATGCTTTCTCCTTGTTTGAGGAAGGAGCAGCATTACCAGCCTTAAGAACTTAGAAATTCTTAATCCAGGACTCTCCCATGTCATTAGATTGTCCTGATACCCCAAGATAACAAGTGCAAGGGCTTTTCATATGCTTTCTGGTCTCCTAGACTTTAGCATTTATTTCTTAAACTTGGTGTGAGTAAGTGAGAGGAGACATTTTTGTCACATCTTTGTGCAGGGTCATAGCGCCTGAGTTGGTGCTTGCAAGCATTAAATAGAAACCAGAGATCACAGCACCAGGCAGAGCCCAGCTCTGGTTGCTTTCCCAGAGAAATCCTGCTTTCTCGGAGAAATCTGTCTCTCCCAGAAGAGCCAAGAGCCGGGTAAGAATGCAGCAGCCCTGCCCTGTGCTGCACCGCAGCACATGCCAGCCCGTCTGCTCTGTGATGGGATAGTCATTTAGCAAAGAGCAGTACAGCCTGGTGGCCTCCCAACAGACCATGGACTGGGCCAAGACCGCAGCGTGGCCCAAGATGATGATCTCATGCAGTGAAATTTAATACAATAATTGCTAGGTGATGTGTCTTTGTATAGCAAGGCCGGGCACCTTGCAGCTCAGCCTTTTGCAAAGCTGCAGAGCCTGATACAGTACCCACTGTCCAAGCTGGTATAAACTTGGACAATCCATCCTGCTTCCTTGTAGGATGAAACAGTGTTCTTTAAACCAACCTGTTATGTGGCAGGACAGCCAAGGAGACTTGTGCCCCTGCCTGGGTAGCGTGGCCCGGAGTGGGGCAGCCCTCTGCATTGGTACAGGCAGGAGAGCAGCCCTTCATGTTGAGAAGGCCATGCACACTGTGATGTGGTTTGGTATTAGGTTGGGTTTTGTGCTTCTGGACAGCCTGAACGCTGCAGACACACAAATGCGGACACAAATACGATGCAGGTGGGGACAACTCTGCGATACCTGCACGCCTGTTACGGGGTGTTGGAGCTGAACCTAATGTGACCTGAGGCCAAGGGGCTTGGGGACAGATGGAGAGGCTGGTGGGCTGTGTTGGGCCATGGGCCAGCTCCAGCATGGAGTGGTTGGTGTCCCCAGCTCCCCCCGGCGTGGAGCAGGCAGCTGTTGGCCAGCCCACAGTGGGGCCAGAGGAGAGCGTGGTGGGGCAGGGTTTGCGGCCGAGGGGGACTAACAGGCGTTTGGCAGCTGCTGTCGTCTGGAAACAAGCGGTGATGCATTCCTGGGCATGTTCTCCTTCCCGCCCCGGTGCCGTCATCAGCCCCTCTCGGATAGCTTTGGGGTGAGCAGCTGCTGCTCCCTCCTCTCCAGCAGCCAGCGAGGCCAGGCTGGTGGGATCTGACCAGCGCATTTGTCTCCCTAGATGGGAAGAGGAGTACACGGTGCGTGTCCAGCTTCAGGACCGGGTGACCGAGCTGCAGGAGGTGAGCATCGCTGTCCCCCCGCTTCCTCTGCAATCCAGCTGCCCTGCACTGATGCTGATTTGTACATCTCCCTCTGCCCGGGGCAGGAAGCCCAGGAGGCTGAAGCCTGCCAGGAGGAGCTGGCCATGAAGGTGGAGCAGCTCAAGGCAGAGCTTGTTGTCTTCAAGGGACTGATGAGCAATGTGAGTCCCTAACCCCTCTCCCACCTGGTAGCGATGGGGCTGCAGAGAAAAGCAGTTCCTTAGAATCTTGGAATGGTGTGGGTTGGAAGGGACCTTAAAGCTCATCTAGTTCCAACACCCCTGCCATCAGCAGGGACACCTTCCACTAGACCAGGTTGCTCAGAGCCTCATCCAACCTGGCCTTAAACACTTCCAGGGAGGGGGCAGCCACAGCTTCTCTGGGCAACCTGAGCCAGTGTCTCACCACCCTCACAGGAAAGAATTTCTTCCTCATATCTCATCTCAGTCTCCCCTCTGCCAGTTTAAAGCTATTAGCCCTTTCCCTGTCCCTCCCTGCCCTTGCAAAAGTCCCTCCCCAGCCTTCCTGGAGCCCCGTCAGGTACTGGAAGGACACTGTAAGATCTCCCCAGAGCCTTCTCTTCTCCAGGCTGAACAGCCCCAACTCTCTCAGCCTGTCCTCATAAGAGAGGTACTCAAACCCTCAGATCATCCTCGTAGCCGTCCTACTTGTTCCAGTAGGTCTAAATCCATTTTAAAGCCATTGACCTTGGTGGGGCATGTCCAGCACAGAGGTGGTCTGGTGGGGTTGGTCCAGGATGCAGTGAGCAAAGTGTGGATGCAGTCCTGCGGCACAGAGGGGAACGCAGGGGCTCTGCTTGCCATTTGCCTAATCTTCCTCCTTTGTCCTCCTCCTGTGGTGCTGTGGGTTCAGAACATCACAGAGCTGGACACTAAGATCCAGGAGAAGGCCATGAAGGTGGACATGGACATCTGCCGGCGCATTGACATCACTGCCAAGCTGTGCGATGTGGCACAGCAGCGGAACTGCGAGGACATGATCAAGATGTTTCAGGTGAGAAGTTCCTGCTTCTGCCCCAGGTTCAGATGCTGGCTCTGGGGAGGAGAGTTCCCAAAGAAGGTAGAAGAGACACCACCAGCCCCCTGTTAGGGGAGACACTTGGTCACCCTCGCTCCTTGTAGTCCCGTGCTCTCTGTCTCTCTTGGGAGGACCAGGCGAAAGGGTGCGGAGAGGAGGTGGAAAGCTCCAGATGTTGCTTTGGGCATCGAGAGTCCCCTCAACCCCTGGCTGAGCTGTTGTGTTGGGCCCGGGGACCCCGCAGTGGTAGGGGAGCAGCTGCAGGAGGGAGACGAGTTGTTTGAGTGTCTGTCTCTAACTCCATCTCTCTCCTTCCCCTTCCCCTCTCCGTCATCTTCTCTCTGTCTCTCTTCTCTGTCTCTGTCTCCTTTCTCTCTCTCAATGTCGCTGCCTTTCTGTCTCGCTCTCTTTGTCCTTACAGAAGCAACTGGTTAGTTCCATTCAGTTGGGAAAGTGTACAAATTTTAAACTTGCTATAAATAAGGTCGGACTGTAAATACTGACATATTTCACATTTTTTCAGACTCTGTCTCTTTTTTCCTGTTTCTGTCACTGTGTTTCCCTGTCTCTGGACTGGGGTGGTGGGTGGTTTGACTTTTTTTTTTTTTTCCCTGCAATAAAACCACATTGTTTTTTTTCTCATCAGATTCATAGATTCCACTTTTAGTTGCTTAGTTTTAATTTTAGAAAATGCTAAAACCATGTTTTATCCATTGCATCATCTTTAACCTGATCATAATGAGCCCATCTCTCTCTCTCTTTCTTTTCTTCCTTCCTTTCTTTCTTTTTTTCTCTCTTTCCATGCCTTTCTGTCCCTCCACCATTCCTTTCCCCTCCATCTCCTCCCAACTACCTGCTCCTGACCTTGGACCCGGCCTCGTTTCTGTAGTCTCTGCACTTGTCTCCCGTTAAGGTCCCAGCCTCGGTGGGGCGGAAGCGGGAGCGCAAGCAGGTCAGCGATGAGGACACCTCGCTGTCAGAGAGTGATGCCTCCCGAAAACCTGAAGAGGAAGAGGAGGACGAGACCACGGCCATGAGTATCAACGAGGAAATGCAGAGGATGCTGAACCAGCTGTGAGTGCGGCTGCTCCGCACTCTGCCGCTGGTGTCGAGCGAGGCTTCAGCGCCTGGGATGGGGAGGACAGGGATGGGCTGCAGTTCCCCTTCCCAGGGGAGGGCAAGATGGGAGGTGATGCCATGGGGCACGTACACCCTGTGCTCTGTGGTGCAGTGGGGTCACCCCAGGACACCTGAGCCCACCCATGCCATGGGTGGGAGGTGGTCCAGCTCTTGACCCTGCTTCCCGCCTTTCAGGAGTCCCTAATTGAATTTGCCAGGGCTCCTGACCATAAAGCCAGCCCCTTCCCCATCAGCTCTTGGGTTTGGGCATGCTTGAGCTCACCCTGGCCAGGCCTCCAGGAGCTGCAACCCTGCTGTGAGCAGGGGCAAGGCTTTTGGCGCCGCTGCAGCCCCCCACCTGCCCTGCCTGCCAGGGTTTTCCTGCTGCCTGCTGACGTGTTGTTCCCTTGTCCCCAGGAGGGAATATGACTTTGAAGATGACTGTGACAGCCTCACGTGGGAGGAGACAGAAGAAACGCTGCTCCTCTGGGAGGATTTTTCTGGCTACGCCATTGCAGCTGCAGAGGTGCAGGGGGAGGTAACCGTGGTGTCAGGTCCCCTCGGGGATCCAGACGTGGGTTGGGACACTCAGTCCTGCCTGAGCCTGGGAAGATGCTCCCTCAAAGACCAGACTTCAGCCCCTACATCCCTTGCAGGCCTGTACAGATGCTTCCCCTTTCCACCCCATCTTCTCTACCTGAATATGTTGCCACATCCTTGGGAAGGTCTCCTTTTCAGACAAACCTGAAAGATATGCCCACACTCACGGGGAGAGCCCCAGCCCTCCCAGAAAACAAGACCTCCTCTGGCTGGGCTGGTCTCTGGTGGTCCCTTGCTCGGGCTCTCCAGCCCACCTGCCCCCTCTGCAGCAAAGCTGCCCAAACAGAGGCCTCAACCTCTGGCCAAAGCCCTCGCCATCCCACATCATCAGCCCTTGGCAGTCCCCTGGGGTGTGTCATGCTGCCTGGGGACAGTCTGTGCTCTCCAAAGCTTCTGTGCACTGCTGGGCTCGTTCTGGGCTGACGTGCTCGTTGCCTGGTGTGGCAGGTCCTGGGTCTCTCTACTTGGCATTGGCAGGACTGACTCGTGCCTTATTTATACTACACTGCTTATCTTTCTTCCTCTTTTCCTAGTGTTGCCAGTTCTTTCTCTGATTTCTCTCTCTCTTGCCTTTGATTCCTCACATGGGACACCTCCCTGCCTCTGAACGTGCCGTCTGCTCTCCCCAACAGCAGGACGACAGCCTGGAGAAGGTGATCAAGGACACGGAGTCATTGTTCAAGAGCCGTGAGAAGGAGTACCAGGAAACCATTGACCAAATAGAGGTAGGAGGAAGAGGAACTGCGGAGGACGTGGCACAGAAGGGGGTGAAATGGGGGAATGGGTCCCTGGGGGAGGGAGACACCATGCTGGAGCAGATAGTTGGTAATGGGGGGCAGAACCTGCCCCCTGGCCTGCAGCACACCATGCCCTGGTCTTATCTCTGCACCTTTTCCCTTGTGTAGCTGGAGCTGGCCACAGCCAAGAACGACATGAACCGGCACCTGCACGAGTACATGGAAATGTGCAGCATGAAGCGAGGTTTGGACGTGCAGATGGAGACTTGCCGACGGCTCATCACCCAGTCTGGGGACAGGTAAGCTTCAGTGGGAGGGCTGAGATACCCATGCTGTGGGCAAGGACTGGAGCCAGGGTGGTAGTGAGTGGGAGCTGAAGCACAGGGTGGTACTCCTGCCCTGCCCTGTTGTGGAGAGAGAGTAGTTCCTAGAGGCTGTTGGATTCCTGGTGATCAGCCTCCACGCAGGTTGTGCTGCCACCTCTGCAGAAGGTGGGCTGTGCACGGGGGTCAGTTTTGACGGGTGAAGCTGGCCACCCCTGATGGAGAGAGGAGCTACTGTTGTGCAGGGACATCGCATGGGTCCCCACAGGTGTGGAGCCAAGGTGGCTCCAGGTTGGGGACCCAGGGTGGCTTTCACTCACCCCTAGCCTCACATGTCTTGGAAGGGTCCTGCCCTGGGCAGGCTCCCCCAGCCCTTCTTCATGCTCTGTACTGCTTGGCTGGTGTCCTCTGGGATACCCTCCCTAGCAACCAAGGATTCCCACGGACCCATGCATGCCCCAGGATCGCGAGAAGGGCACTTCAGCTTCTCTGATCCTTGTTCTGGTGCCCCCTACCCACACCAAAATGGGTCCTTTCCCTCCCTCTGGGCAGTGCTGTGACCACAGCCCTTTACTCTTCTCTGCAGAAAGTCTCCTGCCTTCACCCCAGCCTCCACCAGCGAATCAGCCCCGAACGAGGAGAGCGAGGAGTCTGACCGCGACCCCCCCAGCGATGCTTCCATCAGATAATGAGGGGATACCCCACTCCCTCGGACCCCCTTCCTGGCACGGGGGTGCCTGAGCCGCGCCTGGGAGAGACTGTCAGGGACATGGGAGCCACTGGTAAATGTCTGTCGCCCAGGCTCGCTCCTGTTTTGGGGTGCTTGGCAGATCCCGCACCCCCCTGCTGCCGGATATCTTG